TATAAATTATACAAAGAAATAATAGATATAATTAATATAAAGATAATAATATAATATATAATATATATATATAATATATTTAATTAATATAATAATATATTATATTTATATTTAAAGATATAAGTTATATAGATAATTATAATATATTAATAATTAATAATTAATAATAAATATATATAGAAGAGATATTAAAGATATAACACCCCCCCAATCATTTGATTGGGCTAATTAATTACTAATCCCCCCTAAAAAGGGGGGCAAAGATTAAATTTTTATAACTTTTTATTATATTTTTTATAATTATATAATAAAAATATTAATATTAATTAATACATAATTTTTATAAATAATACATACTTATTAAATATTTTATTTATAAGGAATAAAATAATAAATGTATTTAGTTAAATTAAAAAAAAAAATTAATTAATTAAAAATATTTATAAATAAATAAATATTTACTAATTTTATATTAGTTATGATATATAATAATATTATTTAATAATAATAAGAATGTATAAAATTCTATAAATTATTTATATAATAGATTTTATATAAATTTAATTAATATATAATGAGAATAATAAAATATTATTCGTTCTTACCAAGGAAATATTATATTTTTTTAATATTTTATATAATACTTAGTATAATTAATTATAGATTCATAATTATAAATAAATTTAATATTCTATTATAAATATAATAATTATTATTATTAAAATATATTTCATAATATTTAATAGATAATTTATTATATATTATTAATAATAGATACAAAATAGGTAATTAAAATATTAAATACTTTAATAATTATACACCCCCCCCTAAATAGATATATTTAAAATGTAATCTCTTTTGTGTTGAATTATTATTTTCATTATTATTATTATTATCTTTTTTATTTATTATAAAAATTATATTATTGAAAAGATATTATTTAATTATATTTATATAAAAATTAATAAATAATTATTAAAAATGTATAAAATGATTATTTGTATATTATTAAATATAATGATATAAAAATATTATATAAGGATATAAGATAATAAAATCATATTATTATAATAAAATATTAAAAAGGGTATAATAAAGAATAAGTATATATAATACCACACCCCCCTAAAGAATAGATAAGGAAAGTTAATACTTAAATCCCCCCTGTATAGGGGGGGATAGGTTAATAAATAATTTTTTTAATTTTCATTTCATAAAATTAAAATGTATATTATAAAAAGTAAAAATAAATGTTGAAATAATTAAAAATAATTTAATTAAGTACCTCAATAATAACATACGATATATAAGAATAATCATACAACATCTAAGAAATGTCATAATAAGATAGTTGTTTCATATCCTACGTGATGTGTATTAGTTAATTGTAAAGTATATAAACGATAGAATGAGTAAGCTAAGAAGAAAGTACCCCCTATTAAGTGGAAACCATGTAATCCAGTTAAAAAGAAGAATGTTGATCCATATATACCATCAGCTATAGTATATGTACAATATGTATACTCAATAAATTGACATATTATAAATAATACACCTAATATTATTGTAGCTAATAAACCATATACACTTGCTTTTCAATCATTACCTATTAAACCATGATGACTTCATGTTATAGTTGCACCACTTGATAATAATATTAATGTATTTAATAATAGTAAATCTGTTAGTTGAATTGCTGTTATACCCATTAGTAGTCACATTTCACCTAATTCTATTACTAGTGACAATGCTGAATGGAAATATCCTCAGAAGAAACCAATAAACATTAATAATTCAGTACCTAAAAATATTATATATCCTGTAGTTAAACCATTTCTTACTTTCATAGTATGATCACCTAAATATGTAGCCTCGGCTATTATATCTCTACCTCATAATATACCACTATATACTATTGTTATTATATTTAATAATAATATTCAATGAAAATTACTATAATTATGTGATATTAATAATAAATTTAATAATAAACCAAATACACTAAATGTTACATATATTAGTCATAGTGATAGTGTTACTAAATGAAATAGATTAGCTTGTAAATTACTTAAATTTGTTTGTACGTTTTTTGATAACATGTTTTTTTATTTATTCTCTATTTAATTTAATAAATAGTTAATTCTTTTTTTTTTGTTTTTTATTTATAAATTTATATTATAAATATAAATATTATACTAGATAAATATATATTATATATATATATTTATACTTATATATTAAAAATAAATAAGTAAAATTAAATGTATAACAATAAATAAATAATTATTTAGTGTAAGTATACTGCATCTTTAATATAACTACATGTTAAAATACAGAATACATAGGCTTGTATTCCAGCTACGGCAAATTCTAAAGCTACTATACCTAATAAAATAGCTAATAGTATAAATCCAATTATAAATAATATAATTGAAGATGCCATAAAATCGAATAATAAACCACATAATATAGTTAATAATAAGTGACCTGATAAGATATTAGCACCTAATCTTAAACCTAAACTTATACTACGTGCAATATTAGAAATACCTTCAATTAATACTAATACTAGTACTAATGCTAAAGATGTTCCTGATAGTACAAATAATGAAAAATACTCTAATTTATGATTACTAAATCCCATTATTGTTACTCCAAATCATATTGTTATACTTAATGATATTACAAATATTAATTGTGCATTAATAGCAAAATTATATAGTACCATTGATAATAAGTTAGCTAATAATATAAATGAAAATAATGAATAGATTAAAAGGAAAAATACTGTACCTTTAGTTCCTAATTGACCAAATACCATATTATGAATAGTTGAATATAATGCTTCTACTGAAATATTTCAATTTGTAGATATTAATTTACCATTTTTTAATGTATATACATTTAAAAAATAAAATATTCCTAATACTAATCCCATATATAATGTAAATGATGTAATATTTAAGAATGATAAATTTATTATTGATGATGATATACCTAAAAATGTTTGTATCTCAAATTGCTCTAATAGTGAATTTATTAAATAGATTGCTGACATTGTTTTTTTTATTAATTAATTTTTTTTTTAACTTTATTTAATATTATTTATTAAATCATCTTTTCCTTATAAAATAATATTTATAATTATAATTTAATTATAAACATACGGCTTAAATAAATTGATAATATTCTAAGTAATACAAATTTAGAACTTAAATATATTATTATTAATAATCCTAAATAACCTCAGAATATTTGATTTAAAAAGAAAAATAGTACTAATTGTGGCATTGATTATTCTTATTTTTATTAATTAATTTGATACTTATAATAACTAAGTTCTTTTATTATATACTATATTAATATATTTATTAATATAATTTTTATATTAAATATGGTAAAATTAAATTATTAATTATTAATTATTTATTATCTTTTAATAGCTAAATAGAATAAGATATTTTCTAATACTGATATAGCTAGTAATAATATAATGAAATAACTAAAATAGAATATAGTTGCAATTTGACTTATTAATACAAAAAGTACTTCAATATGTACAGCACCTAATGCACCTAATAATAAGAAATTAACTATAAAGAATCAGTATAACATTTTAGATATTAGTTTAAATGCATTACCTCTTACTATAGAGAAATCTACATAAAGTAATGCTAATAATATTAATATAGCAGCTAACATTGCTATAACACCTACTATTTTAGATGATATAGATCTTAATATTGCATAGAATAGTAATAAATAGAACTCTAGTACTCATTTTTACTATATATTTCTATATAGATTAGATTATGTCATATGCATCTATATTACATAATTAATTAATTAATTAATTATCAAATAATATTAAAATTATTGTATAGATAATACATAGTGGCGCTAAATGAAAGATTATTATTGACATTAATTCACTTTCTAATCGTTGAACATTTTTATATCATTCTATATTTAATAGAAATTATATATATAATAAAATAATAATTATTTATTATTTCATAATTCAAATATATATAATATGTCAATATAAACTTTGCTGCAAGTTATCTTAGTATAAATTTATATATACTTTAGATTTTCTTGTCAATTCACCCCTTTTTTACATAATATTTCTACATATTATGCCACAGTTATATTATTAATATATACTTTATATATAATATTTATTTTTTAATTTTATAATATTTTTCTAATAAATAATAATATTTATTAAAATTATTTTTATTTAATCAAATAATAAATTGTTTATTACGATATTCTAAAGCATTTTTTAATATATTATCTTTATTATCTAAATGATAAGAATAGTATTTTCTTTTTAGAACTGTATTAAATAGTAATTTTATATAATATTGATTTTTAGATTTATTTAAATAAATAAATAAAAAATATTTCATATTTTTAGCTTCATATTTATCAAAATAAGAATCTATTAAATTTATAAAAAAATTAGTAAATATTGATAATAATTCATTATTTGAAATATTAGTTAGAAATAAATATTTTAATTCATTATTAATATCTAATTTAGTTAATAAAATATTATTTAATATATTAATATTTAATTTAGATTCTTCTTTTAAAAAGAATAGATATTTATCATAAATTTCTTTAATAGATAAATATTCAAATTTTAATAAAGAGGAATTAAAAATAAATTTATTAATTTTTAAAATATTATATTCTCTAATTAAATCAAATTTAATTAATGCTAGTATTCTTCAATATTTAGAAATATTTTTAATAGAAGATAAATTAATTAATAAATTAAATTCAAGTTTTCTACTATAAAAATATTGAGTATATTTTTTTATAAATTCACCTATTTTAAGATAATCTTCTAAAGAATTAAATATTTTAATTATTATATAATAATTTTCTACTTTATCTTTAGATTCTAAATATATACTTGTTTTTATATCATAATTAGATTTTAAAAATTCTTGTATTATTTCAAATAATAAAATATTATCATATGTATTTTTTTGATAAATATGTAAATAAGTATTATATCAAAATAATTTTATTTTTTTATTTAAAAGAAGATTATATCTAATAGAAAAATGTAAACCACCATCTCCTATAAAAAATCCCATAATAAATAATAGATTAATTTTAAAATGTTTATTATAATTATATTGTAATAATTTATAATAATAATTATCATAATAATTTATAGTATAATATTTTTTATTATTAATAAAATTAATAATATTATCTAATTCAAATAATCTATTAAAAACATAATTATTTATATAATTACTATAACTCATTAATCTTTGACTATTATCTACTATAAAATAACTTAAATAAATTATTTTAGAACTATATGAAATATATTTTATAATATGAAGAGTATCATATAATTTTAATAATTCTAATTGAGATAATAAATTTTTATTATATATTATATTTTCAATAGATGTTTTATATACATGAGATATTTGATTACATATATCATATAAATAATAAATTTTTATTATATACATAAATCCTCTTTTTTATCTCCAAAAACATTATTAAAAAATAGTATTAATTTATTAATTATTATTTCTCTATTACGACAATACATTTGTATTGCTATATTATTTGAATTTTTAATTAAAAAATAATTAAATTTTAATTGATTATCAAATATAAAATTTAAATGTTTAAATAATGATATTATTTCAAGACTACTATTTAAAGTTAAACTTATTTTAAGTGAAATATTAAATAATGTTTTTTCTAATAGTTTTATTTCACAATAAATATTACCTTCAGCTTGAAATAATCCATTCATTATTTTTCTAAATTCATCTTTATTAAAATTAAGATCTAGTTTAAAATTAAGATCTAGTTTTAATTCATTTTTAATATAATCTAAATTTTTATAATAATTTATATTTTTATCATCATAATTATTATTATATATTATATATATAAAATAAATAAATAAAAGTGTTATTAATAATACTAAATTTATGGCAAGAAGAGTTACTAAAAGGTTTCCTAGAATATTATTTTCTAGATCACCTAAATATTCTAGATAGTATGATATTAAGAAGAAATATGCAAATAAGAAAGCAAATACTGTGATAGCATCTTTAAATATGAAATAAAGATGCATTAGTATTCTATCTATTTTACCTGTTATTCCTAATAGGTTAGAACTACCATGTAAATGTAATGCTAATAAGTGTAAACATCCTAATGCTGCTATTATAAATAGTAATAAATAATGTAAACTAAAGAAACGTTGGATTGTTAGATTAGCTACTGATGAACCACCTCATATAACAAGTTATTATAATATAAAATATTTAAATTTTATTATCAATATTTCACAATATTGTTTAGACTATGTCATCAACCAATATGTAATTATATATAACTCTATATATAATTATTTTAATATATCTATTGGTGTTCGGCGCTCGTGTCAATATTATTGTTGGTTTGAACTCAATTGTTAGTCGTTGAACATTTTTATTACCTATTCATATATCAAATAGTAAAATATAATTTATATTATATTTTATATACCGTAATAAACTTTGCTGCAAATTGTCTATATATAAAAAAAAAATAAAAATATATATAGATTTTCTTGTCAATTCACCGAATTTTTCAATTAAATATTACTATTTAATGGAACTTTCTTTAAGGAATTTTTATAATTTAATTTATAAGTGTGTTAAGTAAATTTAAATTTTTATATCTTAGATGTAATTTTAAATTATTAATTCATTTATTATAAGAATTTAATTTATAACCTAATAATAGATAATTATCTGAAAATGATATTAAATTAATAACTGATTGTATATCTTTTTTAGATGTAACAACAAAATGATTATATAAATTTTTTTTTATTATTTTGATATTTTAACTCGTGTATTAAAAAATAATTTTATACCATTCATTAAAATATCATTATGTTTTTGAGTTATTTCAAAAGATGCATCTTTACTTTTATTATTTTTTTAAAAGAAACTACCATCTGCTATAATAAAACCAATTAATCAATTATCTAAAAAAGATTAATTTTTAATATCTAAAAGAGTTATTTTTATTAAAAAAAAGTAATATATTTAGTATATCTTCTTCATTAAGTATATTATTAAATCTAGTTAAACTATTTTTATATATATATATAGCTTTATTATACTATTTACGTCTCATTTCAGTTAAAAAAAATAAATTATGATATTCTAATAAAAGAAAGAATATTTCTTGTAAATCTGTTTTATTAATTACATATTTAACATATTCATTTTTATTTGAAATATATTTAATAATATGTCCAAATTTTAATTCTGATTGAATAAATTATAACATATGTAAATCTCTGATATGTAAATTAATAACTAAATTTAATTTAATAATATCTCTACCAGTATTACTTACTAATATATAACCATCCCCCATTTATTATACCTATTAACATAGCTATAAATTTTTTTAGTAAATTTTTATAATAATTATCTAAATATTCTCTAAGAATATTTCTAGTGTTTAATCTTATTTTACCTAAAATATATTGTTTCAAATATAAAAATTTTATATTAAAATCTTTTTTTTTTAATTGAAAATTCTGCTATTGCGTGTCCTAAATATAGAACAGCTGTTACTAAATTTGTAATT